TCTCCTCTCCTCTCCTCTCCTCTCCTCTCCTCTCCTCTCCTCTCCTTTCCTCTCCTCTCTCTCCACTACAAAGGGAACCCAGATTCCAAGTGATGTGCACTCCCATCCACATAACCACAATGGTGCAAATATGGATGTGGATGTGGATTTCTTTCAGACACACACTCTGTGTCCATCAGCAAAGGGTGCAGAGTGTAGGCATCATGCCTGACCTTCATTCAATCCAGAGGCCACAGGACAATTGCTTGCATTTTGTGTAACTGAATTTCCAGCTCTATGTACCACCTACCACTGAAATATTTTCTGCTGATTCCTCACCAGGTGAAAAGCATCCAGGATGCAATTAGAGACAAGAAACAGCAGTTCAACTTCCTTGGAGAGGAGATTAGCCTGGATCCATCTGTGGGCATCTTCATTACCATGAACCCTGGATACGCTGGCCGCACGGAGCTGCCAGAGAACCTCAAGGCCCTCTTCAGGTGAGTGTCTGCTCAGCCTCATACAAGGATCCCCAGAGAAGTCACTTATGTTTTCCCACTGAAAATGCATATTTACATATTGGAGCAAATTTGGAACATTTAGAAAGTGGATTTTTAAAAATCTTTTACTATAATGGCATCACCAGTAAAATCATTCTTTGTTGAGTTGTGGCTCATTCAGTTCTCTCTCTCTTTCTCTCTCTCCTACACACACATATATATTACTTGCAATCTACATCTATGTACAGTTTTTATTGTTTATTTTTTTCATTTCATAGTCTCTCATAAATCTTTTCTTCTACTGGGTATTTTTAATAAATCTCACTCCATGACTACATATTTTTCTATCAAGTACATAGTCCACAGTGTAATTAACTAGTCCCTCATGGCTGAATATTAAGATTGTTCTAGCATTTAAAATAAATTCATACATAATTCTGTAATGTACATTTTTGTATATAAATCTTCTTCTGTATGCGTGATTATTTTGTTTGGCTAGCTTCCCAGAAGTGGAATTACTGAGTTAACGAGCAGGAACATTTTTAAGGCTTTTGATGCACATTGCCAAATTACTTTCTAAAAAGCTCAGTATCAAATTACATTCCTGGTAGAAATGCGTAGGAACACCTCTTTTATTTCACCCTTGCTACCCGTGCACATTGCAATGTTTTAAAATCTTCTTTATTTTGATTAGAAAACACAAATGTCTTTCCTAGCAGGCGCTGGAGTCGGCATTCTTTTTTTCAGAAAAGTGAAGTTGGATCAACAAAGAGAAAGCTAAAGGATGCTTCCTGCCTTCTGATCTTCTGCTTATTAAAGCTTTACCTAGGAGAGATGCTGGGAGGTGTGACAATACCATTTGTCTCACTGGGCACTTGGAGGAGTAGTGCTCTTTCCGGAGGAGGCCAAGTCCATATTTTGAGGCCCCTCTGTCGCTGCATCAGTTCCTCCTGATATTTGGGGGGGTTGTTTGCTTGCTTGCTTTAAAACAGGGGTTTCACTATGTAGCCCAGACTGGCCTTGAACTTGTGATCCTGCTGCCTCAGCCTCCTGAGTGCTGGGATTGCTAGCACATGCTGCCACATATCTGGCTTTGCCCCTCACCTCTAAATTATTCTATATCACACCGGTGCAGGCATGTCCCCACTCATGAATCCCACTTTAACCAAAAAAAAGCATTGAAACATTAGCAAGCTATACACAGAATCCTGCTACAGGTTCTCCCACAGAACCCTGCACTGTGGGCTAATCCTTTATGCATGTGTGCATGTACGATAGAAAATATTACAGGTAGGTGATCTCTCAGATAAGAATTATTCTTATGTTTTCTGCTTAAAGTGATCTTAGTCTAGGCCAGCTGCAGTAACAAAATACCACAGACTAGGTAAACTAAACTCTAAACACTTATCAGGGTTCTGTAGGCCAGAGGCCCAAGGTTAGAGTGCCGTAGGCTTATGTTCTGGGAGGGTGCAAGTCCAAGTTGCAGGCCATGGTCACCTCATTGTATCCTTCTGGGGCAGGAAGAAGGCAGGCTTTCTCTCTGACCTCATCTTCTTCCTGAGACTTCACTCTCATGACCTAATCACCACCCAAGCTTCCCACCTCTTAATACCATCTCACTGGGGATCAGGGTTTCCATAGGAATTTTGGGAGGATGCAAACTTTCAAGCCCAAGCAGTCTATAGCATATATCCACAGAACAAAATTTGAGAAAACTATTTCTTAAAACATTAGCTGAAGATGTACCCCAGTTGCCTCACCCTGCATCCCTGTTCATCATGATAGAAGCCAGAATGATCTGCGTCCCTATTCCCTATTGGCAATTTGGGTAACCTCTTCAGAGAATGGTGTGATAAGAATAGGAGGTAGGAATTGGCTAGGCAGTTAAGATAAAAAAGACCCCAAAGAAAAATAGCCATTTTCTTGGCTAAAAGTCAAAACGGCCTTGGGCCACCTAGCAACATACTCTATTTCAAAAGCCAAAAATGATAAAGTATTTGGGAGCTCTTATCTAATCCCTGAAAGATTTTAGGGTTACCCCTTCAGAGGGGTAATGTTAGAGTAGCAAAAAGCCCCATTTAAAAAAGAAAGAGAGAGAGAAGAGAGAGAGAAAGAAAGAAGGAAAGAAAGAAGAAAGAAGAAAGAAAGAAAGAAAGAAAGAAAGAAAGAAAGAAAGAAAGAAAAAAAATGATGGGGAGATATGGGAGAAGTTGGAGGGGAGGGAGTAGGCATGGATTTGATCAAAACACCTTGTAGGCATGTATGAAATTTTCAATAAATTTTTTAAGTTAAAAAAATTAAACATGAACATTTACATTTAATTCTCACAAAGACTGTGAGGTAGATATTATTGATTTTCCTCTCGTACACCTGAGAAAACAGATGAATTCCCTTGTTACTAAAGTTAGTTAGTAATCCAGCCAGTAAAGACAGAATTGGAGTTTGTGCCCACCATCTTGGCTCCTCCAACCCAGTACTATCACCCAGAGACACTCCAGCTGCCACTCACCATTTTCCTTCCCAAGCTGTGTGGACATTCATTTTTCAGGTCTGAGGTCTGGCCCTATTGTTTTATATCCTGCTTTCATTAATTAGTGTTTCCCCATGCCACCTAATAATCTTCCTTCTACAGCATCGTTTTTCACAGTCATGTTGCGTTCTGTTGTTAACCTCATGTTCAGATTGCCAAATAGTTTCCAGAATCTTAAGTATTTGGTGATTCCTTTGAATCTGAATATAGTGTAAAATATTTGAAAGAAAAATATGCATTTGAATGGAATGATTTTGAAAAATGTAGGGAGAATGCAATTAAAGAAATGTAGCAGGACCGGGGAGACAGCTCAGTCAATAAAGTGATTGCTGTGCAAACACAGGACTTGAGTTTGATCCCCAGAACCATTTTTAAAATGTTGAATGTTGGTGCATGCATCTCTAATCTGTATGCATCTGATTATTACTAGTCATAATCAGTTGCACTCGGGTCCTAGGCACCTGTGTAT